TAATAATAGGTAAATATAATGCAAGTACGGAATCGCGGTAATAATTATTACATGGAAATAGGCTGAGAATGCAATAATAAATGTCGTCACAGAAATAATGATTCTAAAAATCAACTGCAGTCCGCAAATCAACAGCACTATAGTAGTGATGGAGTAGTAAAATGAGATTAGTGTCAATGTTGTAGACACGAAGCGATTTGTCAATGGCCAATTGGCTATATGGAGCGGTAATGTCCTTTTTAAATTCAATGTTAATAGCTTAGAAATGAAAAACACCGCTCGTAAAAGGCCAATAAGTCTTAATAAACAAAATGGTAGGCAAAGTAGAAACGTGAACAGATCCTTAACAAATTGCAGTAATTGCATAGACAGCAAGTGGTATTTCATATCGATAAGGGTAATCTTCAGTTGAAGATATGACTGCTGGTCATGACTTGCTGTAATATATTTTTGTCTAGTTTGTAGCTCTTGGTCGTTTGTAAGACTTTTGCTAGATTGATATCTTGAATTACTAAATCTTATTTGTGTCAAGCGAGCCAAGATTACGATCAAAGTATAGATAATGTTAATACCTACAGAAATCATAATTGTCAACATGATCGTGCGAGGAATCGAGACTTTAGCTATTTTAGGGTTAATAATAAATAGGATTGTGTATCGCTGTATCATTAAAGATGCCAGTCCCAAAAGGCAAGACAAAATAGTCAATGATGATAATTTAAAGCAGTAAATAATTTCTGACCAAAGCTTTTTGGTGGTGCAATTATGAAGATTGAAATACTTGGCGTTCTGAAATCTTAGAGAGTCTAAAATACGAATTTTGATCATTTTAATATGACTTTCTGCTTGAAGCAACGAAATATCACCGGATTGACGTGCTAGCCGATGGATTTCTTGGGATGATCCGAGCAATAATTGATCGCTGGATTCTTGATTTGGTTCCTGATCCGAATTAGTACTTAAAATCAGACTTGGCTCCTGATACTCACTCTCATTTCGGTCGTGGGGTGATTTAAGCTTTACATATCTATCAGAACAATTTTACAAGTATTAGTAGTCAGTATATGTAGGTTGTAGTAGGTAGCAGTTCATGTTTTAACCTAAGAAAAGATTAGGTTACAGTAAAAGCTAAATGTGATAGTATTTCTGATCTCTATATAATGGTATTATGAATCTGTTATGAGTCAGATATTGATATAAAGTACAATGCATAGTTAGAAAGAGATCGATTGTGATATTTCTAATAAAAGTCATAAAGATCTGTTCGCTAAGTATACTTCGTAACAGTAAATAAATTAAATGTAGATAGCTAAATATAATTCGGGAATATGTACTGTAGTTGTCATTTGAGTGGAATATTGCTTAATTAATCATTCATAGAACTCTTAAAAATTCATAGTTTTGGAATTAAAATTTAAGCTGCACAGATACCGGTTTTTGTAAAATCAATTACAAAAATTAGTAATGATCATGTTTCATCAAATATTCTTTTGGTCTATAATTACAACATTTGTTACCAATAACTAACCAGACTTGCATAAATAGTACAAATATATACGCAGAAATAGATATCTTGAAGTTATACTGTCCTATTTATTCGATAGTTGTCACCCTTTCATAACTTTCAAAATCAAGCAACGTAGTGGTATCTTTCGTGATGAATAAATATAAATGACCTAAAGTTCAATTTTAGATTATCTTCGACTAATTGAGTATAGGTTTAGCCTGATTTACGAGCAAAATTAATACTTGTAAGCTAGATTTATGATAAATTGAAATAAAAGAAGAAATACTGTGTCAAAGTATCATAGGAATACATATCTGCTAAACTAACTATAATATAGCAGTAAGATTTAAAATTACTCGCAAAATATGATTTATGTTATTATATTAAAAATTTAGCCTACCGATAACTCCCTAGTTCTTCCAAAAAGCTCTTAGTAAGTTTATCAACTACTACAGCAGCCATACAGGAACTAATTGCTACGGAAATTATTTGCATTACTGGAAAGTACCATTCTTCTTCCTCTCGCTTTAAACATGTATCAATATCTATTTTTGGATTGATTCTACTTCTTTTACAGCATGAATAGTCAACTGCATGGTTAGAATGTCCATCATTTTTAAGATAGCGTCGTCTACATATTGTAAAACAAGCTTCCCCTTGGCAACTTTGATTTAAGTTCATAAATTGTACAAGTGTTGTGAATATGACATGAATTCGACATCGGTCATTTGGTAGCAATAGATAACAACCTTTGCTTGATTCCCTAAAAGATAAACGTTGAGATGATGTGAAAACTGAAGGAAGGCTTAAGCTTGTAGCTATGTAATCGCTAGGTAAAGAAATTAAAGCTTTGCCAAATTCATCTCTTATCCATGCATAATATGTTTCCGGGGCAGACCATTTCTGTATGTTCTGATTTTCAAGAAATAATTAAAAAAAAACGGCTTTTGTTGTTTTTGAGCGAACAACTTCTTGAAACTGAGCATATGAAGATGATCCATTCTCCACAATCAGATGGCAAGTGGGTAGGCAGATAGAAGCATTTGTCGCTTGAACTGATGCCTTAAAAAATACTATTTGAAATAAGCAAATAATGTATGGAAGAATATATCGATATCGATATCTATACGTGAATAAATCCGAAGGAATCATCCTGTAAGCAGCAGTTTGGTAAAATTTGATAACACCTGCCGAAGTTATTAAATAAATTTGCAAAAAATTTTGCAGAGATTGGTACCTGCTGATATTTTTTGCTACACTCCGTAGGTACATGAGATGAATACTGTAACTTTTTATTATATTCTCTTAAATACCTTTGCCCTAGTTTATATTTGCATTATGCTATTCTCTATAAAAGTATCTTTTCATTCCGAATAATTTTCTAGGTAGTAGCAAATGCAAAGTATAAACAGAATAATTAGGTCAATCATGGGGAAGAAAAAAATTGGAAAATCGGAATAACGCCTCATATTTTCAGCATCTGATTCTTCTACTTATGATTATCACGTAGAAAAGATGTGGAAGTATTGTAGCCTTTTGATTTTTATTAAGAAATGAAGTCTTTATCCTTTAATTACTTGAAGTGAATGGTAAAGTTTTAATTATTGCTATTAATGTAGTCTAATAGTTATTGTATATTGTAACTTTTACCATGAGAAAATAGTTACTGCTTTCAAGGATAGTGCTAGACTCATGTAGGTGAGATCTTATCCAACCGATAAAACTAGACGCTTAAAATTGATTGATGCTACCTGATAATCAATGTGATATTCAAGTAAAACTAGTGCCAGAGAGATGCTATACTATACAGTACTATATAGTCTATTTACATAAAACTTTATGTATTACTCAATAACTGCGAATCGTATTGGTGTATTGCATTATCAGAAATAGAACATTACTATATTTGATACTACTAGCAACCTTCTTCAATTTTTTTATTAGGCACTACTCAAGAATTACTAATAGTATTAATATATTACTAAAAACAGAACATGATAACGTTTATCATACCAGTAAACATCTAGAATTACTTTATTAATTAGGCACTATTCAAGAATTATCGATCGCATTTGTATGTTACTCAAAACGCAACGTTATATCGCTACATCATCAGCAGTTATCTATAATTGCTTTATTTAGCGCAGTGACTATTCTACATCACATAGTGCTTTACTTCATATCACTGTTCTATTTCTAACACGCCCTACTATAATTATTAATTGCCTGATATCGCTACAGTCCTATTATGATGTGCGATGTAAAAGCGATTCACGTTTACTCTTTATTAAAAAATCATCTTCTTGTCCTTCATAATGTCCAAATGACTGTTTGATTTTTCTAAAGATATTTCCTAATCTCAATTTGCATGTACTAAATAATAGACTATTCGCTTGATCACGGTTAAGTTCCGTTCCTATTACTCCGCTATCAACACTATTAGGAAAAGTATTTGTTAAACCCATCCTATAAGCCGAAAATCTTCTCTACTAGACGTCATATAGAAATTTTTTTAACCTGTATAATTCAAATCATTATTTAATCACTAAAATATTTTTTTAAGCAATGAAGTTAATATCGAATTATGCCAGTTGCTACTAATAATATTTAAATACTCAAGTTGTTTCCAAATCAGCAATGAAGTATTTATTTTGCAAGTCCTTTGATTATGGCATTCGCTGTTATATTTGACATTAACCTTAAAGCATTTACATCGGTTCGTTGTATATGGCATAAGGCAATAACAGAAAGAATATTTTTACAACGATCAAAATAGATTCTAATTGTGCAGTTTCCCTAAGAATAATGGCTACACTATGTTATACATCGCCTGTCGCTATACGAGTAAAAGATTGTTTACGTAAAATAAATTTTTTAGCATCGCAAAGTCTGTAAGTCAGGCCTTGCTGTGTATGAAACTTGTAATAGCTATCTATAGAAACAGCAAAATAACACGATTACACATTTTTCAAATCGCCTTTACCTCTTTCAGGCTTAAGCTGCGGTATTACACGATGTTATCAACTGCGTAAGCTTTTAGTCGTTTGAATAATTTTTGCAGTTTGATTTTGCTTGTAACTGCAGATTCCTTTTTGCATTTCTGTATGAGCATTGGGCATTTGGCGCATTCATTACTCTTTACATTCACATGTTATTATCACTGACATCTACCTACAATGTCAGACTTGCAGCAAATTAAGCATTCTCTCATTGGAATATTTAAAATGAATTAATTCGTACGAATACATACTTAAGACTTTTAATGTGTACGAACAAGTAGGAAAAAGTAATGGAAATATGATAAAACTAGCGAAATTCTAGTACTTTTATCGATCTAGCAACGTTTTTGCAGTACATTAAATATTCTATTAACTATCGAACGTTACCAAAAGATTCAGTAAATAATTTATCTTTTAATGTTAAATAAAAGATATTTAATGCAGCAATTGTATGCGTATAACGTAAAAACAAACAAATTAATTTAGCTTTGATTTTAACATGAAACAGTGCTGTTAGCTTCAGAATTATCGTTTAACAAGTCGTAATCGTCATGTTTCTTAGGATATCCAAAAGCATTTCTTAGTATATTTAAAATATATCTAAATTGAATCTCGCCATTATTAATGAATCGATTATTCTGCGAATTTGCATTATTCAGCTGATTCATATTATCCAACTGATTCACATCATTTAACTGGTTAGTATTATTTGACTGACTGATATTATTCGACGTCGTGCTATCAAGTTGCAGCATTTCTTCATCATCGTCTGAGTTTTGATTAAAATTTACAAAAATCATCCGATATGCTTGAACTACAGGTTGAAAATGTATCCCTTCTGTACAAAAGAATTGATATCCTCTTCGATATTTAACAATATATGTAAGTAGAATCTCGTCAACTTCGTCTTCTGTTAATTCTGATATTTTAAGATGTTTAAGTGATAAAATTGTAGCTACATAGATAACAGGTGTTTTAGCTATAGCAGAATTTAACGATGAAAACGTTTGAATCTTATAATCCAGTAAAACTGTTAAAACAAATATGAAGAATAATCCGCTTACAAAAATAATATTGAAGAATACACGCCATAGACTGATTGATATTTGAGGAGCGTAATAACGTAGATATTGATATAACTCTAAAGGAATAGCAACAGGCTGATCGCAAGTTCTATCTTCGTGTTTCTTTTTATCTTTCTTCTCATCTTTATTGTCAGATTTATCGTTATCATTACTTATGCCTTCATTACTATTTTTATCGTCTGCGTCAGCCACTTCTTTCGGATAGTAAATCTGAGTTAACTTTTTTTCGAAGCCTTCGATCTTGCTATTCTTTAAATATTGAGCTATATATTCTAGCATATGATTGATCTTTTCAGCTTGCGGACAATTAGTGCAGCCATTAATACACTGCTTTAATTTAACTTTAACATTCCCATCTTGTAATATTTTATATTCAAAAATAATTTTCGAGTTTCCATCGATAATCTGATGGTTAGGCTTGCGATTCATCCATTCAACATAGATCTTGATGTATTTTCGGATGTTAACATCTTCAAGCATTTCTGGTAAATCTATAAGGATATCATCGTATGCCATGGCTACATAGACTTCCAAATAACCTTGATTTGCTTGTAGTATATTGCCTACTATTCGTTTTATCGCACCTGTATATTTTAAGGCGATTATTCGTTTTCGTATCATCCTATCAGTTTTGTTATAAGCATCAGATATTTGGATAATGTAATGTACGTATGGAATCACTATAACGATAACAAGACTAAAGTAAACCGAATAAGCGACCACAAATGCTGTTACAGTAATAATGACTCTGAAAACGAGTTGAAGACCAATCCATAAAAAGCCTATCGTAACAAGGGAATATAAAAATGCTGCGCTAGCATAAAACATAGACATTAAATAACAAGGAACTCGCCAAGATGGATTAGTTGGTAGGAATGCAGTTCTTAATTTAATTGTTAATATTTCTGTCATAAACATTGCGCTACGGTAAGTGCCTACTCTTCCCGCTATAAAAAACAGCAAGCAGAATAGTAATGCTACTAAGTTATTGAAAAGTCCTATAACATGAAATGATCTTAAGTGATGAGTTATCTTGTTAATATAGATGAATAATTGAAAATAGCCTTGTCGATTGCTATTTCGCGACATATAGCGATATCGTTGTGATATTTTAGGTTGTTCCTGTTGACTCAATCTATATTTTGCTTTGCAAAATTGCCGGAGATCGGCTAAAAGTATAAAAAATATACCACCGCCGCTAATTAATGCTACTACCATAAATATTTGTTTGATAAAATGCGGTATAAGTGGTGTTATATACGGATACATTTTAGGAACAAGGATAAATAATATTGGAAATTTCTGTACAAATATCGATATAAACCCAGCTGACATACAAATTACTGTAAATATACAATATTTAAAGGCATGATGTATATGTATCCAAGGATTACTGTCAGCTTTATCGGATAGATAGAAGTATCCTAGATGCTCTAGCTTACATTCATTTAATACACGAACACGAGTAGATTTGATTTCAATGTCCCTAAGATTAAATATTAGATATAAACTTTTAGAATAAGAAGATATAATAGCATAGATAATTGAGCGTTAAATTTTAGCATAGCATTAATAATAATACCCATCAAATCAGATAGTTACGCGATATAAAATTTGTAGTATCAATTAATTGATATTATAGAATAATCCATATTATGATTGACATTTTAGCTCTTAGAGTTTCTACGACTTCAAGTTATCACGATACTCAAATCTAATAAGGTCTTTAGAGGCGTCAGATTTTTTGAATTTAAAAGTGTAAATAAATTAAAGCAATATAGATATTCAAAGCTTGAATATAACCACAAGCACTAACTTTACGTTGGTATACAAAGTATGTTTATTTACAATATTTATAGAATGTATTTGAAAATTGTACTGAATCACACTGATAATAATATAGATCGCGATCTTACCTTTCAAATTCCGTTATAAACCAATTTAAAATTTTGTCTGTAGCTGCTCCACTTAAAATGATGCTTAAACAAACTGAAAATAACTCCATCAATGGAACATACCATTCTAGTTTCTTCTCGATGAAACACTCGTTAATATTAATCTCCGTCTTCGGTACGCCACTTGGACAGCATGAATAGTAAATTTCATGAGCAAAATTTCCATCGTTTCTTATAAAATGTCTTTGACAGACGGTACCGCAATTTTTACCGCTACAACTACGATTTAAGCCTGTAAATTCGGCTAGTGCCTTGAATAAGATATAATCTTTACTTTCTAAGTCAGGCAGACGATCGTAACAGCCGTCGGTAGATTCAACAAGAGACAACTTATATTCGGATATGAAAACAGAATAAAGACTTAGACTCGTGGCTATATAGGTCGTAGGTAAGGTATAAATAGCCTCACCTAGATTTTTTTTTATCCATGCATAAAAATAAGTACCCCTCCAACCATTATGTGCAGGTATAATCCGATTTCCTATACTCATATTAAATAGAATCACTCTAGACCAATCCAATTTAGTCAAGTCTTTAAATTTAGTATAAGCTTGTGTCGCATCTTTTACAGATAATTGGCAGATAGCATCCGATGGTATTTGATTAGTATAACTTAAAGCTGTTTGCCAAGATAGCCAAATAAAAGTAACAACTATATAACGCGATATAAAGTGATTTGTTGCCATTTCGATTTTGCTATAATTTGAGTATGTGACAAAAGAAGTATAATGATTTCAGCCAGCTAAAGTAGTACGATAGTGTGTTTTGAAAGTATTTTAGTATCTGAAATAAAACACTATTAAACGTAGAATGTCGATTATGCTTAAAAAAGCAATCGTAAACTACGGATTAAAATGTAGACTTATTATAAGAAAGGCAACAAATATTTATTTTAATTCTTGTCCTGTATAATTAGTAAGACTTCTACTAGTGTTTCTTATAGATAATCGATATCGTGTTGAATTTCGCCAAATGCTTTGATAAATGATAACGATAATATATTTTACAAAGCTAATTATAACCTCATTGATAGCCCTAGTTCGAACAGGATAAGTAGAATGCCATTAATTCAGATAAATACTATCTATTTTATATATGTATAGATAATTTAAAACACGCTGATAGTTTCTGTAGAAAAATGATTTTAACCATTTACTGCTTTGACAAGAAAGTCTAGGATAGCTCTGAAACCAGGAGGCAAATGGAACTCTACGATCACTTAGACGGTACTAATTATAAAGTTACCAAGTACGACTTACGTAAATAAACGAATAAATAAGACTAGACAACATTTATAGGCGTCGAAAACGTAAATATGACAATTAACTAGTAGTGTTAAATCGAACGATAATAAGATGTGAATTGCATTATTGTTCCTTAATTATAGATTTACGAGGAATTGATAGTTTTCTAGTTGAATCTTAAATTACATTGTTATTTGCCGTAATTTATCCTAGTTTTATCCAGTAGACATAAAAGTAGACGCAATTATATTTTACTATAGTAACCAATGAGCTATAGTCGATAATGTTGAGTAATAGAATTGGATTTGTGTTTATTGCTATATTTGATCTGCTTCTTAAAATTAAACGATAGAACTATACTGACAATAAAACATTCGGAGTAAAGAAGAGATTATTACGGAGTCTCGCTAATAATATTTACAAATTTCTACAACTACAGATTATAATTTCAAGGATCAGAATAATTGTCACCGAGCTCATTGAGTAATTTATTGTCACCGTATGAACTTCCGTGAACCACATATAACTAAACTTAGCGAATTTAACAATCTTGACGGCGATTGCCATTACGCACTAGGAATAATAAAAATTTACCTTGCCATTAGAAACGAAAGTAAGTACTGTATACTTTTCTCAGTAAAAGATGCACAAATATAGTTTTTCATTTTCGGATAATATCGTCAATCACACAGAGAGATTATAATAGATATAGTATAGCTAATAAGTCTTATCAATAGAAAAGTTCGTAAAACGCGTACTTCAACTTATGCTGTATTGAGCACTCTACAGTCTACAAGCACCATTATTTATACCTTTAAAATGAATATATCTTTGATGACAGTTATGCTCCATACAAGGTCGGTTCAAAGACAGATTACCAACTCCGTATATTAAGCAATCGAATTAGAACTACTGTTAACTATTACGTCATCGCTTTGTTCTTTAGAATTTCTTAAAGTTATATAGATGATGCTAGAAGTATATCCAAATTGAATTTCGCCTTTATCGAGTAATCGATGATTCTGTTCTGTATTAACATCGGACATAAGGGTTGCATAAGTTGAATAAGGATTACAATTTCCTAATATCATCCTAAACGCTTGAACTACAGGTTGAAATTATAATTCTCTTGTACAAAACAATCGATAACCTCCATGACATTCAGCGTAGTATCTAAGCAGAAATTTAAAGGATGAATTTGACTAGATAAAATTTGAAATTTACAGGCGTCAAGAACGCGAATGCAGCAATCCAATTGTGCGCTTAAATTAGACAACAATAAATTATAAATCTTCTGTGAAAATGATAGTTTTCTATTTAAACCGTTAAAGAGAATGTTGCTCCCATTGTTACATCCCAAACTTTATCCTGTCATTCATAAAAATAGACTTAATTATGTTTTCTCTGACAGTGCGCTATTTCGTTTTACGAATTAGTTATATATTTTCGAGCAAAATAGTAAATCATGTCATGATAGTTACCAATGAGCCATAGTTAGTGATGATAAGTAATAGCATTCGATTTTTATTCGTTCCTCTATTAGGGAAGCCTTAAAATTCTCCGATAGCACCAATGAATAAGATTTAGAGTGGAATAGAGTTTGTTATGAAGTCTAGCTGACAAGATTTCACAGATTTCTATAGCCAAAAGTTATAGACTTAAGCTTAAGAACAGTTCTTAATTTTTCCATTGAACATTTTATTGTCCCTATATGAAGTTACATCAACAGCATATAGCTTAATATAGTGAATTTAACAATCTCGATGATTATTTCCCTGACGTACCAGGAGCATTAAAAATTACTATACCACTGAAAGTAAAACTAAATATGTTTTCTTAGTAAAAGTTGCGCTAATATAATTCGTCTAACTATCCTTTCGTTTTCGAATAATATTGCCAATCACACAGAAGGATTGCAATAAGGTATAGCTAATAATAGCTATTAATAGAGGATTACTTATCTTTTTCAACTTCTACAGCATTAAGATCTTCCAACCTATAACTATTTGTACCTTTAAGATTAAATATCTTTGATGACAGATATACTGGCTAAAAAAGTATTTCGAGGCAGGTTACCAATTGCGTTAATTAGATATGAGCTCGCTGTGAACCATGTCATAATTTAAGAGATTGATATATAAGGACTTTGTTAGACTATAATCCTTTATTGATAGTTGAATATTATTACTATTTACGGAAAATAATATTGTTTTTTACGTCTGATATTATTAATTAATTAATTTGCAGTGATAAATACTGAGGTATTAATTAATGACTCTAGCCGTGATATCTATTAATTAGCGCCTAGTCCCATAAGTTACGCTAAGTTGTATCTAAATTAAATCGAGTAATCTTTGGTGTCTGTATACTGTGTGACTGAGATGATATTATACAAGATCTGAATACTAAATTGTTAACTGAAGTTTCACCCGAAATCATAGCGGAAAATACTGATACCTTTTGGATCTAAATGATCCTCTCATCAAAATACTATTTGTACTACTATCTATTGAGTGTTGACTTTGACTTACAAGTTATAAAATAAACTAGCTTTCCGCTACTGAAGGTCTCCAGAGGATAGATAGAGCCTAACTAGAATAGATATTAAAGTAGAAGGATAATCACCAGAGTCGTGATAGTATGTTAAGCAATATAATCTAAAGTAGTAGTCTTTGCATCATCTTCCTTTTTAGAATATCTAAAAAAGCTTTTTGGATAGTGCTGAAATCAGATCAAAATTGAATTTTTCCTTTATAAATTAACCGATGATTAGGTTAATCTATATTAGTATAGGATGATGTAAGGGCTGTATAATTTGGATTTGGATTAAAATTACCGAATATAATTCTTGTAATTGGTATTATACTAATTATATTAAGAGAAGAAGGTATAGTAAAATACGAACGCAATCACAGTGATGGCGCTTTTTCAGTTTAGATCAGTTTAACAGTCAGATCTAATTGTAATTAATACTAATTATATATAGGAGAGCCAGATTCAGTAATAAACGCAAGTTAAAACTATCTCAGACTTTGTATTAAGGTAAGGGTAGTTTACTAGCGTACGATCAAACCCAAGATACCGTACAATAATTATAATCGGAGTACCTCTTCAGCCATGGTAAGCTTAGTTGCGCATTTACACTAATTGTCAGTTAAATCTTAGAACTTAATCCTAGTAATAGGGCCTAGTTAACAATGATCCTGTATGCTTACAGTAGGTCAATAAAAATTTAGGGAGTAGATCGTACATTGTACAGTGCTTATATTAATTAATTTTTTATAGCAGTTACGTCCTTGTAAAGAGCGAATTTTTAAATCTCTTACAGTCCGAATTCGCCATCTTGAAATTTGAGTTTTTAAATCAGGTAAATTTCTAGTGTGATAGTAAATAGGCTGAGCTACTTTTAATCTTAAAAGCAAAGTTCATTTTGAGTCAGGCTATCGAAGAAGAATCTAATTTCTTCCCCTTCTAAGAAATGGTGAAAACGGCTAAGATAAACCGAATAACCAACTTATTAGACTCTATAATAAAAATTCGATACAATTTGCTCAATCCAATACTCCTTTTTGATACTCTGCTGAGGAAGTATGAATTATATTTGTATATTATCCGCAAGCAGAAAATGATAGCGTTTCATGATACTAGCAATCACCTAAAATTGCTTTATTAAATTATTTATATATAAGGTTATGCACTACTCAATAACCACGAATCGCATTGGTGTATTGCGTCATCAAAAATAGAACATTACTATATTTGATACTGCTAGCAACCTTCTTCAATTATTTTATTAAGCATCACACAAGAATTACTAAAAGCATTTGTATATTACTAAAACACAGAACATAATAACGTTTTATCATACCAGTAAACATCTAGAATTACTTTATTAATTAGGTACTATTCAAGAATTATCGATTGCATTTGTATATTATTTAAAAACACAACATTATATCGCTACGTCATCAGCAGTCATCTATAATTGCTTTATTTAGCGCAGCGACTATTCTACATCACATAGTGCTTTATTTCATATCACAGTTCTATTTTTAACACATCTTACTATAATAATTACCTGATATCGCTACAGTCCTATTATGATGTGCGATGTAAAAGCGATTCACGTTCACTGTTTATTGAAAAATCTTCCTCCTGTCCTTCACAATGTCCAAATGACTGTTTGATTTTTCTAAAGATGTTTCCTAATCTCAATTTGCATGTACTAAGGAATAGACTATTTGCTTGATCACGGTAAAGTTCCATTCCTATTGTTCCGCTATCAACACTATCAGGAAAATTATTTGCCAGACTCATCCTATACGCCTGAACGATAGGCTGAAATTGTATTCCTTTAGTACAAAATAATCGATAACCTCTTCGATATTGAACTATATTAGCAACTAATATCATATCCATAATCTCTTCCTTTAATGCTGGTATTTTAACATATTGAAGCGATAGATTCACTGCTAAAAGAATAAAAGGCAAACTAGCAATGGCAGAGCTTAATGATGAAAATGGTCGAGTTCTGTAATTCAGTAAACTGGTTAAAATAAAGGTTAGAAAAATCCCAGTTACAAAAATAATATTGATTATCATGCGCCATAGACTGATCGATATGTGCGGTGCATAATAACATAGATATTGATGTAATTCTGAAGGAATAGCAATAATCTCTGTATTAGCAATGTCTTCTTTACAGTAATAAATTGGACATAAGTGACTTTTAAAATAGTTACGGTCGCTATTCCGTAGATGGTGTTCGATTGTTGTTAACAGCATGTCAATTCCAAGAGTATAAGGACAACGACGGCAGCCATTGACACATTGAGACAGCGTTACTACTACAGTCTTATCAGGCAGTATTTCATAACGAAAAACAATTTTACATATTCCATCTAAAATATGGTGATTAGGCTTTTTTTGGATCCATAGAATATACCTAGTAATATTATGTCGTATCTGATTGTCTTGCAGCATTTCAGGTAAATCAACTAGAACATTATCGTATGTTATAGTTACAAATACATGTAGATTTCCTTCTTTAGCACGCAGTATTTCTTTAGTAGTTTGATTTACTTTATCCTGCAATTGAATTATTCGCCTTGATATTATTTTCTCATTTCTAAAATAGGCGTCAAAAGTATATACAATATAATACAAGTAGGGGACTACAGTAACTATAACGACGCTAAAATAGACCGGAAAGGAAATCATAAAAGTCACAACCGTAATAATTATCCTAATTATAAGCTGAAGGCCCATCCTTATGGTCAATATAGTGGAAATCGAATAAAACAGCGATATAAAGGCTATCAGTGTGGATACGATATAGCTAAGAAATCGCGCTGACATTTTTTCAGAAAGTAATGCCTTTTTCATTCTCATATGGAACAATTCTGCTATAAACATAATACTTCGTAAATTACCGATTCCTCCAAATATATAAAATGGTAAGCATAATATAAGCGATAAGAAATTGATGGTAAAGCCTACGACATGAAATGACCGCATGTGGTAAATTGTGCTATTGATATAATGCATGATTTGGAAGTGTAATTCTCGATAACTGTCTGGTGAAATATAGCGAAGTCGATGTGGTTCCTCAAATATAGGCCTATATCGATAGGAATAATCTTCACGGCTACAATATTGTTTAAGGTAAGTCAAAATGATGAAAAATATAGAAATACCACAACTGTAGACTAAATATAGAAATGCTTGTTCTATAAAGCGTGGTATTCTAACTTGATACATGTTTGGAAAGATAATAAAGTGAGCTGAAAATTTTTGCATAAAAAATGAAAAAAATCCAATCGAAAAGGTAATAACAGCAAATAGGCAATACTTGAATGCATAATTTACAAGCGCCCAGCCAGTTCTATGTTTATTCTCTGATAGATAGAAATATCCCATATCTTGCAGTCTAAATTCGTTTAGTATTCGTACAGAGACAGATTCAATTTTAGTATTTCTAAAATAAAATTATAAGAAAACACCAAACAGGAAGAAATAAATTAGTGTTACATTAAACGAATATTGGCTTTATACAAACCGCGCTACGTTATTCTAAATTTATAAGATTAATATATTTAGCCTATGTAAGACCATAGACTAATATCATAACAAGGTAATTTCGTTAGGTATGCTAAGATTTCGCTATCTTATACCTTAACTTTTTATTAAACAAATTAAGAAGAAAATTAACTTATCCAATGAATACAATTAACAAAGTTTTGAACTTAACCTTTATTTCTACTAATATTGTGGTTGCTATTTAGCTTACCTTTCCAATCTTCGTAGATACCAACTTATTATTCTATCAACAGCTGTCCCACTTAATAAAATGCTTAACAAAATTGTGACTAGCGTTACTACAGGGATATACCATAGAAATCTTTTCTTAATAAAACATGTTTGAATATTTATCTTAGCGTTTCGTGGATCCTTTTGACAGCAGGAATATATATCGATATTATGAAAGAATGCATCCTTTTGTGTAAAATTTCTTCGACAGATAGTACCGCAGTCTTCGCCACTACAACTTTTATTCAATTCAATCAGTTCAGCCAATGCTGTAAATATAGCATAATCTCTAGAGTAAGAGTCTGATAAGTGGCCATAACAGCCAACTGTCGATTCATTAAAAGATATCTTCAATGATGACATAAAAACTGCATAAAGGCTTAAACTCATAGCAGCGTAATCATTAGGCAAAGTAAAAATAATTTCGCCTACATTTTTCTTAACCCAGCCAAAAAATACAGTGCTATTATGATATCGGTGAACTCTCTGACGTCCTATATACAGGTCGAATATAATCACTCTAACAGAATCAGATTGGATCATTTCATTTAAATGCATATAAGTTTGCGCTTTATCTTGGATAACAAGTTGGCAATTGTTTTCATAGGGTGATAGATTCGCTTGAATATCAACGAAATGCAATGATAGACAAATCAAAGAAAGGATTACGCAGGGTCCAGTAAATCGATTTATTTTGTTATAAATCATGATTGCTTGTGATGAGAAGAAACAGAGCTAGAATAAAGGATATTCATAAATAGTTACTGTTGAAGCTATCTGCAGTCTTGTATTTTGGAGGAGATCAGCTATCATTTGATGTAGATTGCGATTATTTCTTAATCGTCATAATGCATTAAGGGACATTTCAGCATGCCTTGACAGGTAAAATAAATATTGTTCCGGTCATGGTTATACCTATCTGCTATCGACTATAAGGACAAAATGTGAGAACTCTAATTGGCTAGAAATAATCGTACACAAATGATTTGAATCGAGTTTAAACTGAAATTCTATCTACAGTATTTGGGTTATTTTCCTTTAACTACCGTACTGCTTCTATACCTGCAGTGGTCAATAAATACTGTTTTAGGTGACGTTAAAGTTTACAACAAAGGGATAACGTCCCATCATATTGAATCTTATTAGTAACAATAATTTTAAATTATAATTGGTACCTAATAATATTTGTTATGATTGAAATTCTCTAAAACTAGTAGAATGAGATCTTTAAGGTAAAAACGTCAATCGATATTACGGAGAAATATATTTTATTTATAAAAGCCATTATTATCTTCTGGTGAAGTGTAATGATCGAAGTTGATTGTAATAGGCATTTTAAACTTCTTGGCAGTAAATTAACTGATATCTTAATTTTACAAGATTCATAACACCGCATGCTAGTAATTTTAAATAAGCAACATAACCGACCTTGATTTTCGATCATATAGCCTGCTATGCGAGTATAGCATAACTTCTAACTGCGTTAAGGGTTTCTTTTAAAAAATATCGCGAAAAAATTGAAAAGAAACCGCACTATACCGTATTTAAGAATTTCATCTTTTGTTTATGAAAGATTGCCGTACTTTTTAATTTCGGGATAAGCCGTAGCTGTTTTACTCATTTCTCTAGTTCATGTTACCTATTTGATTTATTAGTTTGATTTATTAGTTTTTAGTGGTGATGCATGCGAATTTACTTTCATTTGCAATGGCTGGTGTTCAGATCACCTCCCATTTGGTCTATGCACATCTGATACATTCGGTTGCAGGCACTTGCTGTGTTGCTACAACACATTAGATAATAGCCAAATTTATCAAAGATGGACGACTGCCAATCGTAATCAAAGCTGGTGTTTTAATAAGTTCAGCATTAAACTAACTTCCATTTAGCATAGGTAAATTTAAGATCATTTGCCAAAGCTGGCGCTAAGCTAATTTCTCCTTTCAACCATATGCAAACGATATACGTGTTTTCGTCCTCAGAGATTTATTGTTACTTTTCATAAGACTGTGGAAGATTTATAAAAGTATACGACTACCAAATATTAGTAATAGTGCTTTTATAGGTATAAATGTCAATCTGATATTCATCTAGTATTTAGCTACTATGGCATAATTAGTATTAATTAAAATGAGCCAGTTTAAAGCACTGATGCCATTATTAATAGTAGTTCTGTAAGCAATGCAATATATGAACTCAATATTTAGAAAGGATATCTAAACTAGCATTTATTACACGAATATGAATAGAAGTAACTAGTATGGAAAAATATTTGGTAATGCCCTTTCAAGATCAGATATCAATCAGATATTAATCAATCGCACTAATAACTCATACAAGATCACCGTAGTGTACGGATTCTTAGCCCTAGGTTCGTAATCCATCAACTCCAAATTCTGAGTTGTTAAAATCAAGCAAATCCCAATGTGACACAAAATAGTCAAAACTGTATAATTGACTTATAACAGTTAAGTTTATTAACGTCCGTGTGGCGTCCGTCGGAGGAGAATTCCAATTTCTTCGCCTCATAATAACAGTCGAAAATGGCTAAGATAAACCGGATAATCGACTTAGCCTCCACGATAACATTTCTTTACAACTTATATAAATTATCATCAATTGCTCCTCTACATAGGAGTCATCAATCACATTAGTATATTACTTAATAACTTGACTTAATATTACTATCAGTTACGTCCTTATATAGCACATACTCTATTAAGATATACAGTTCTACACTAAATACTATCGCTGTATTGCCTACACAAAACTACTGCAATTGGCTAAAATCACTACAATCACTGACCTAATTATTATTTCACTACATAGCAAAACTATAAAACAAACGACAGAAATTATCATAGAACACAGATGAAATACATTACCCAGAATATAGTGTAGAATGTAATATTATTATCATACAATTATCATGTTAAGTAGTTAGATTGCAATCACAAGATGTGCAAATCACAGTAATAGTAAAATATGCAGATCAAGAATAGTCATAATTCAGCAAGTACTAATGATGTAATATTCTATAATTCCGCAATGTATCGCAGTTACAGTAGGCAAGATCTTAGCACTATAGCAGCTTACCAGAAAGTATGTTATCAACTACATTAGAGTGTAATGATTCAATATCTTTCGCGATTATAATATGATGAGATTTCTTATCAAAATTCTTTACATATTAGTTAATGGCTATGCAATAGGATCAGTAGCAAATTTATCTACCAGAGGCTCACGTTCTCCTTTAATTCCTACGCGTTCAGCAATTGCACTATTTTCACTTGAGTTAGAAGTACGTATAAAAATATTTTTAATTGCTTGAAAAATAAGTCGAAATTGGATTTCTCCTTTATATATAAGTGAATTTGCTTGATTAGACTGATTTTCATGAATGGAAATTTCTTCTTCTACACCGTCCTTATAGGCATCATCAATAGTTTGGACATTATGAATCTCAGCTGCTGAATGACCAGTATTTAATTGAAATGCACTATCCGTTGCTATTTCTGTTGACGGACTGTTAATTGATTGGGTTATATCACTATTAGCTTCTGTTGTGATAACAGATTGATTTCCGCTACTAACTGTGCTTCCTACTGATCGATTACTATTTGAATCTACTTCAGGTATATAAAATTTTATAGTCTTATTTTTTCTATGGTAATGTTCAAAAGTTGCTCTAAACGACTGAAGGATGGGCTGAAAATAAATACCTCTTTCTAAAAATAATCGATAGCCTCGTCTATATTGAATAATATTAGCAATCAGTATTCTATCAATAGTTTCTTCATCTATTTCTGTTGCCACTAAGTAATTCATTGATAGAATAGTTGCTAAGTAAATATTCGGTACATGTGCGAGTGCAGAATTTAATGATGAAAATAATTGCGTTCGGTAATCTAGTAATATTGTCAGAACAAATATGAAAAGTAGACCTGATGCAAGAATAATGCTAGATATTAATCGCCATAAACTTGATGATATCATTGGTACATAATATCTTAGGTATTGATACAGCTCAGATGGAATTGATATGAGCTTATGATGAGCTATATCATCGTGAATAAAGTAGACTTGTTTTGTCCATTTAATGAAATCTTGTGAGTTATTGATATTTAAATGATTTTCAATACAATGTTTTACTTGTTGGAAACCTTGCGAATATGGGCAATTTTCACAGCCATTTGTACATTGTAATAAGCTTACTGTAGTCTGCTTTTGATTATCGTTGACAGTCTTGATTTCATATTGTATAACAATTTTAGATATTCCATCAAAAATCTGATGATGAGGTTGATTTAATATCCACGAGATGTACTTTTTCAAATTTTTCATGACTTTTGGGTCTTTCAACTTTGCTGGTACATCAATTTTGATCTCATCGTAACCATTGGCTAAATAAACTTCTAAAACACCTTTCTTAGCGTTTAACAGGGCATTCATTTCATCTTCAACTTTATCTTTCACCTTGATTATTCTTGTTGGAATCATGCTACAGTTTTTATTATAAGTTTTGATTAAATTTACAATATAATGTATAAATGGAATTCCAATCACAACAGCGAGAGTAAAGTATGTTGAATATGTAATCACAAATGCTATAATGGAGACAATAATCCTAAATACAATTTGAAAGCTAATCCATAGCAGAGCTAGGTGCATGAACGAATAAAGATGACATAAAAATGAAAGATAAAAAGATAGTATACGATTAATAAAGGGCCACTTTCGGCTGTTTGGCATATAAATTTTTCTTAGTTTTAATGTTAATCTTTCTGACAGGAAGACTGCAGTACGAAAAGTACTGACTTGTGCAAAAAGGAAAAATGGAAAAGCAAATGTGAACGCTAAAATATTAAGGATGAATCCAGTAAGATTAAATAATCTTATGTGATGTATCGCGTCTGTAATATAAGTTATCATTAGTAAATATGATTGGCGATAGCTTGTTCGTGTAAAATGTCGATGATGTTCTGTTTGGATATTATGATTGGCACCATAGCAAAACAATTTTAAATGAGCGACGACAATGGTTACTGTACTAATTATTAAGGGGACACCTACCGCTAGTACATATTTTTTTATGTTAAAGGGTATTTCAAGATGAGTCTTAGGAAAAATCATGAACATAAGAGGAAATTTTTGTATGAGGTATGATGCTGATGCAGTAGCAAAAGATACAATTGGAAGTAAGAGATATTTTAAGCTATCGACAATAGGCTTATAACGATAGCTGGATTCACTCTTATGGCGAATAGTATACCCTAAGTCTTGCAATGGTGAAGGATTCAATATGCGGACACGTATAGATCCGATTGTAGTATACCTAAGCAGGAATTAAGAGAATTAAATTTAAGTCAATAGATCTTGAAACTTTATTATGCACGTATACTAAAAATGAAGAAGATCACCGTAATAATCATTTAAACTTTTTAAAATGTCTACATTTATTATTTTTCATGCAAGAAACGAATGGTACTCGTACTTTTTAGAACAAGTAGTAAAATAAAATACTGGTTACTAGGCGATCTTTCGGTATACTAAAGTTTAAAAATTTCAGATACAGGTAGTATCTGTTACAGTTTACTTTGTGTATATAGCTACCTTACAGAATTATATTATAGTACATCCAGTCGTACAAAGATGATTTCCAGAAACAGTTACGATTAAGTCTATGCTTTACTAAAGATAAATGTACAATCTTCATTGACTTAAAATCATGATGACATTCTTGTATAAATTGGCAAATTCATTAAATAATAAAGTTAATTTGCAATCGGTGTAAACTTACTCGCCAAAAATTGCATACCTTAAAAAATGTATAAACATTATCAAAAGTCTTTACTTAATTTACCGTAGGCAGAATGTATGCTAGTGTATAATATGAAATAACGCAAAATCAATAATCTACTCCGAACTTGACATGATATTTGTTATCTTAGTCATTATTGATGAATTTGCCAAAAACGAAGCATATACTATAACCGTTACAATCATTCTAATCTCGTGAACATCTATCTTCACTATATTTCATACGAGAAATGATTTAAATCTTTTGTAGAGTCAATGACAAAGTGTTGCAATAATATTATTTCGCTTAATTAACCTTATATAGAAGTATGCTAGTGTAATTTAATATAATTGCAGATTAATAGTTTGCACTAAATTTGACTTACAATATTTGACGATCCAAGTATTTATTGATGAATCTGTTCAAAGCCATTCCGCCTAGGTGGATACTTATTATAGTAGAAACCGCCTGCATTAGTGAGACATACCAATCAGCCCTCTCTTCTGTCAAACATTTATCAATATTAATATCTCCAGTCAATAAATCTTTATGACAGCATGAAAAGACAATTTTATCGCCAAGCCAACCATCATGTTTAGTATAATTTCTTCTGCAAATAGTTCCACAACTGTCGTTAGTACAGTTTTCCTTTAATCGAGTAAAATCAGTTAAGGCTGCAAAAGTAATATAACCCTTACAATAATCATCATGGAAGCGATGATAACAACCGGGAGATGATTCTTGGAAAGAAATTTTCAATTTCGATATGAAAACGGCGTAAAGACTAAATGTTAAAGCAATGTAATCGCTAGGCAAAGTAAATACACCTTTCCCGAGATTTTTCTTAATCCATGCGTAGAATATAGTCCTGCGAGTGCCAATATGAGTAGTTTTATTGCCTATGTACAGATCGAAGAAAATTGCTCGTATTGATTCCGTTTTAAGCATTTGTGTAAAATTGACGTGAGCCCGTGGTCCTTCCTTGATACTGAGTCGACATTGTAGCAAGCATGATGATAAATTGAGTTGTGAAGTTGCGATAGAATGTGGAAATACTAGCAAGATATAGATTATTAAGGGTAGGCAGTAGGATAGAGATCGATAACCAGTAGTTTTTGTGTTAATCATGATGCCGATAAAATTACTAGTAAGTTTTATAGAACGATCTTTTGCCTTCTTTCCATTTTAAGCTTATAATACTAAATAAAACTTAGCGCAAAATACAGTAGACGTGTTCTGGTTATTTAGAGTTTTAATATGAATAAATTGGATGTAAGAAATGAATGAGTACAAAGATTCTTTCACCCGCTACAAATTTTCTATTCGACTTCCTTTGGACATGGTAAAATCTTTAACAGAGGTTAAATTCGGTGAAAAGTGAATGAAATAAAATAAGTATAAATAACAAATGATTCCATTAAAAAATTAGTCAGCATGCACACGCCAATAAAAGCGAAAATACCTCGATGTCGGCCTTATTTGACCAAAGCTACTAATGTGAAAATGTATACCGCACTACTCATATATAAGTAGTTGACGAGGGAAAGAGGTGCTCGATTAATTTTAACTGCCTCAGGCTAATGTTTTACCTGGGACATTCTATAAGTTAGGAAAATCTATAAAATACATTTAAAATAAATAATATTGGACATTATCATTGTCAAGGTAATTACTTTTGGAGCACTTTCCCCGTAATTTTTTATTGTAAATGATAGTTAAATATGGAAAGTAAATATCCTAGGATGACAAAACTTATTACTCTTTGCTCGATTTCTCGTGAAACTGAAGCTCTAGTATTTAGCCTTCGCAAAATTTAGTCTTCTTTAGCCTTAATAATAATATAGGGCAGAATCTTCGATAGATTTCGATTTAGATTGTTTAATAAGGAGAAGCCTCTGCAATATAGTGTAGATAAAAGGCGAAAAAAGGCTCTAGTACAGCAACCACTCGTAATTTAGTTCATTGAATGAACAGACATAGTAAACAAAGAGGTGTTATAAAAATTAGACTCTGTAACTTATGCTATTGCGTTTTACCGTATCTAATAGCCAGAGCTATATCAATAAATGCTACATTATCGGTGTAATTTTGCAATCTAATTATCACCGTAATGCATTGATTGGACATTTATACTACTGTTTCGTAGGTAATTACACTTATCCTCAACATTGCATGACCGAAATTCACGATGAAATTCGGAAACTGTACCGCTATTGTCGATCTTATTAAGACACGGTCCACCATTGGCCTAATACTGCTAATAGGCAACAATTGAAGACTACCAATTAAGGCCTTAAATACTTAGTATAAATTGTACAAGCAGTAGAGTGCATACCCGAGTATTTCATCATTAGCCACTATTTTTTAAGCGATTTATTCTACCTAATCTACTGTATCATATAATTACAATGTCAAGGGTTATTAGTAATACTTCAACAAGCCTGCAAATCGTTGATAAACTTTCAACAACAGTTTGTAGAAGCGGTTGTTTTAAAAATTTCAGTCAATTTGCAAAATGTTTAATTTCGTAAATTGACGGTAACTGTCGTTAAGCTGTGGCACTTACTCACATTTAAAATTAGACAAAATTTGTAAGCGAGTAAGTAAGATTTTATTAATACCTCATAGAAAAAGATCAAAAATTTTACTGATAATTATATAATATACTATACATTCTGATGTTACCTCAAAATCGTTGGCGTTTAAATGTTTCAATAAAGAACATTTCCTATTATGTCGAAAAATCACCTTGATCAGAGTCACTAAAACTATCCAGTATCTTTACGATATTGTCAAGGTCGATTTCGACGTTTTTCGACTCATCATCACATGAGATTACATACTAAACACTGCATGAATACACTAATTACACGTCCTTATAATATTATTTGATCTTTTAGTGTACGAGATCTTGACCCTAAGTTTGCAATGCGATAACTCAAAATTTGAGATGTTAAAATAGAGCAAGTCTACAACGTGTCATAAATAGTCAACACGGTATTAATGACTTTAAAAGTAATCTTTATAGCGCCTATCTGTCCAAGAAGAATTCCAATGACTTCTTCTCATAAGAATATTGGAAATCGGCTAATTAAATAAACTAGATAATCGACTTAGCCTATACAATAACAATTCCATCAGCTTGGATAAATTATAGTCAAATACTCTTCTACTGTACATTGAAGTCATCAATCAAATTTATTGCCTAATAACAGAATTTAATATGCCTATCAGCTACGACCTAATATAACACATAGTACACGTAGGAAAATTGAATTACGTTGAGCCCCGGGTTAAATAAGATAGGAGATTTGCGGTGTTAGAGGTAATCTATTAGGTGTTATAGGCGTAGCGGATTATTAGTGGATAAAGCTAGGGATATTAGTCGTACGGTTAAGTGGGACTGCATGGCACCTCAAGAAGAGGCACCGGCACGTCTCAGTAAATGACGGATGACTGGCCCAAAGTAGGGGATGACAATCATACGTAGCTTGGGGTCTTGTATTTGCAAGAGCTATATTAAATGTTAATTAGAATAAGGAGTAGTATAGGAAAGTTAAAATAAGATATTTCTTCAACAATTTACTTTGCAGAAATCTGATTTTGCTTTAGTTTGATTGCGTCGTAGAACTACTCTAATATAGAAGTAAGGTATTCTTATTAGTCATTTGTGTTTAAGAATAATTCCTTCCGCTGTACTTCTTATATTCTAGAACGATCATCTTGCACCTATCTCGTTAGTTAGTTCAGCTAGCTACATGATAAGCTCGCACGCTTTACTTATTCTACATTGCTATAGTTATTTGACCAGTAACGTTGTTGTACATACTGTAGCCTAACTCGGTTTTCTCTTCGGCATTAATTCCAATAAACTACTTCTCTGCTAATTTAACTCCAATAATCTATTGCAATCATGACGGATCGCAAGTCTTCCAAAATATTACCAATCTTACATAATTTGATTCGGTTACTACGTAGTAAAGGATAAGTAACCCACTTAATTAATGTAAAAAATCTATTGAGATATTTATATTAAAATGCAGAGACATAAATAGATTATGTCAAGTGTAGAAGTACTGTGGGATTTATATTGTGAGGCTTTAATTAGAAACATGAATTATGAATAGATGGCACGATAGTAAATTTAGATATAATCTGATGACTTAATTGGTAAGATATGATTACGCTGAAGGAACATCATTCCGTGACTTATAGAATATACATCGTGAATATTTCTTTAATAATCTAGATAGCCTAGGGATAGTCTGATTGCACTAGATAGTCCTTGTAACTTCACTTTATTATATCTCGGCTTGTCTTACAATTCCTGTACAAGAAACTGTAGTTCTGTTTTTATATTTTCTTTCATTATACCGCCCATCATCAATAATTACTTTGTTAATATGTATTAACAGAATTTTTTTATATAAATTAAATAATTAAAAATAGTATGTTAGGCTGTTGGATATAGAATGGATTATTGTACGTCATACAGTGAAGCTTATTCTATTTTACTTGCACACTTTAAACACATTTTACTGCTATAATTGGCTGCAATATAATGGATATGAAATTATTATAATGAACACTTTGAATTCCAACTTAAGTTATATTTAGATATAAATACCAGTTTACTTTAAGTGTTAACAACAAACTTACATAATTACTTAGAAGAATTATAGAAGGGCCAAACTACTACTGTAATCAACCAAATTATTCAAAAAATGAGATTGCTGGAGATTTTAGGAATATCCTAACTTTTATCTCCTTATTTCATTACATTTCATTAATTTTTACTACTGAACTGTACTACTTTTTCATACAGTATGCTACGTAGAGCAGTTTGTAGTACCAAACAATCATCTTATTACTCTAAAGTATTTTAAATTAAATTAGCAATCAATCACATATAATAAGATAAATACTACTGTAGATTCCCGAAATTACCAAATCAATAATAATCGTAATCTGTCTTAAATTTTGTTTTGCTATCATAATTGGAGCATGATTATAGAAATTAACTAAATATTTCACTTAAATTGCAATCAAAAATTGCATAATTCTTAACATAATGATGCTACTGGATATCGTTTAATTCTAAACCTAATACAATAGTCGGGTTCACAATATACAGACGATGATGAAATTGTAATTTGTTAATGTTGTTCTCGAAAGTCTTTTATACTTCAACTACTCATGTCTTTCGATTTATGATCGAGTGAATTTTTTTGCCTAGATTCTACACACATGAATTCATCTGCTATGCAATAGGATCCATAGTTGATCTATCGATCAGAAGTTCACTTTCCGTATTAATCTCTACATTTTCTACAATTCCATTTTCATTTCTGTTATTACTGCATGTAAAAGCATTCTTGATTGCTTGTAAAATAAGTCTAAATTGAATTTCTCCTTTCTTTATAAATAGATTTGCTTGACTAGATTCATTTTCGTTATTTTCAATTCCCGCCGGGCCAATACTTGTATTAAATTGATTTCCATTCGTGATAACATTTTCTGACGATTGATTATTACTCGATAATGTTTTACTAGTATATAGCCTTTCAGTCGTATTGATTTGGTTGTATCGTCCAAAAGTTACTCTAAAGAACTGAAGAATCGGCTGAAAATAAGCTCCTCTTTCGAAAAAGAATCGATAACCTCTTCTATATTGAATAATATTAGCAATCAATATTCTATCAACAGTTTCTTCATCAACTTCTGATACTTTAAAATAATTGATCGAGAGAAGCATTACTACATAAATAACCGGAGTGTTAGCGATTGCGCTATTTAACGATGAATACGATTCTACTCTGTAATCTAGTAGTACTGTCAAAATAAAGATGAAAAATATACCCAACACAAGAATAATATTGGATATTATTTGCCACAAGCTTAATGATACTGATGGCATATAATATCTTAGATATTCATATAGTTCTGACGGAATTGATATACGTTCATAATGAGCGATATCATCTTGGATAAAGTAAACTTGTTTTGTATACTTTAAAAAATCTTGACAGCTATTGCTATTTAGATAGGTTTCGATACAATACTTTACTCCTTCGAATTCTCGTAAGAATGGACAGCTTTTACAGCCACTTGTACATTGCAGTAGGCTTACTGTTGTTTGCTTTCGATCATCATCCATAATCTTGATTTCATATTGTATAACAATTTTGGATATTCCATCAATGATTTGATGATGAGGTTGATTTAATATCCATATAGCATAAATTTCTAGTTTTTTCTTTACTTGCGGATCTTTCAGCATTTCTGGTACATCAATTCTGATCTCATCGTAATCATTGATTATAAACACTTCTAAAACAGCTTTCTCAGCATTTAATATTGAATTCATTCTATCTTCGACTACATCTCTTAATTGCATTATCTTTGTTGGTATTCTACTACAATTTTTGTTATAAACATTGAGAATCTGTATTAAGTAATGCATAAATGGAATTCCCATAACAATTATCGGAGAAAAGTATGCTGAATAGGCAACTACAAAAGCAATAATAGATATAATAATTCTAAATACAAGTTGAATTCCCATAAATAGTAGCATAATGTTAACACCTATATGGCAAAAACACAATGATGAAATACAAACGGATATGGCAGGATTAATAAATCGCCATTTTGGATTATTTGATAGATAAGCTTCTTTCAGGTTTAGTGTTAATCTTTCCGATATAAAAAATATCACACGAAAAATACTAATTCGAATAGCAAGGAAAAAAGGCAAAATTCCTGCTAGCGATAAACAATTAAGAATAAATCCGGTAAGATTACGTAATCTCAAGTGGTATAGCGCAGCTTTAAGATAATTAGCGATTAGAAAATACGATTGTTGATAGCTGATTCGTGTAAGATACCGATGTTGGTTTGCTTTGACTTTACGACTAGCATCACTCCAGAATAATTTTAAATGAGCAATGATAATTATTATTGTAGCAATTGAAAAGGGAACAGCCACTCTTAGAATTAAATGTATAGTTTTTGAGTGTATATTTAGTCCTTTAATTCTGGGATAAATCATAAACATTAAAGGTAATGATTGTATAAAATATGACAATATTCCAGCAGCAACAGATACGATTGTAAATAAGAGATATTGTAAGCTTATGATGATAGGTTTATAATGATAGCTAGGGTCGCTATTATAGCAAATAGCATACCCTAATTCTTGCAAAGGTAAGGGATTCAAGATATGGACAGGTATAGATCCGATTGTAGTATACCTAAGCGTGAATTAAGAAAACTAAAGTCAATTAAGTTCCCATCAATAAATGTTAGCGCATTATACATTTAATTTTTAGTTAGAAATTAAAATAACGTTTATAATCGAAAAGATCATTATGAATGACTGCATTTGCTATAAATTGGTATAAGGAAAGAATGACCTTGGCGAGAATTTGGAAAATATAATATTGTTTACTGAATAATGTCAAGTGAATTGAATTTCAAAAAAATTTTTACGATGTCGTACTTAGTGTTGCATCCATTTTAACAAAAATAGAATACCCATATACATGGAAGTATGATCTACTGAAACTCTTTTAATTCTGACTGCTCTTAACTAACAGTTAAAATATAACTTAAAATAACATAAATGAGCCCATAATTTTCCCATGCAAATATGAAAGTTGTAAAGTAATTATTTAGCTTGGCTATAACGTCGCTTGGTAACAAAATTTCAGGACTCTTACAATATTACTTTATATTATACACATCTATAATTCATACGGAACTGTGGCTGTTGGACCAAGGCCAAACTAGTGATACATCCTTTAGTAAATAAAATAATTTTGTTTCGAAAAATGTAACACCAAATTTAGCTTTAGATTAAAGATTTGTACGTAATAATATAAGTTGTGGGCTTGATTGCAAGATTGTCCGAGAATTTATTTCTAGATGACATCTACGATACGTAATTTAGCTTTTTTATAGCAGTGAATACGGTAAAAGCAATAGCTACCGTATTAATTGGTCATACGATAGTGAGTTGAATTTTGAGCTTACTACTCACTTGATTGGCAAGATTGGTAATTTTACTAAAAATCATAGTTACGTTTTATTATAATATTTTAAAGATGCCACATCATATTATATTATTCTACTTTAAACTTAATGATACTATAACACTTTACTTTGCATTAAGCATATTACCGTGCTTTAGTTAAACTAGAGGTGAGCAAGCGTAATTAAAATATTTCAAAGATAACGTTCTATACTAAACTTACATTATTTGCCTTTCCAAGTAATTATCGAAGACTTCATTTAAAGCTATTCCGCTTAGGTAAATACTCACTGCCAAAGTGAACACTTGCATTAAAGGGACATACCAATTAACTGTATCTTCTTTTAGGCATTGTGCAATATTAACTTTCCCAGTTAGTAAATCTTTTTGACAACATGAAAAGTCAATTTTAGTAGTAACAGTGCCATCATGTTCACCATAAGATCTTTTGCAAATGGTTCCACAGTTATCGTTTGTACAATTTTGACTTAATCGAGTGAAATTTACTAAAGTTATAAATGTAACAACGTCCTTACATTCTTTAGGTATACGACGATAGCAGTCAGGTGGCGATTCTTGGAAATTGATTTTTAATGTCGATATGAAAATCTTATAAAGACTAAATGTTAAGGCAACATAATCACCAGGCAAAGTAAATACAGCTATTCCTAATTTTCTCTTGACCCATGCAAAGAATATAGGATTTTCATAGCCTTTATTTTTATGAACAGGTTGGTTACCTACATAAAAATTAAAGAAGATTGCTTTTATTTCTTTAGTTTGAAGTATTTGGGTAAAATTAGCGTAAGCCTGTGGTTCATCCTTAACGTTGAGTTGACACCATGTACATAAATCGGCCTGTGCTTTTACGGTAGAAAATAGAGGCAATAGCAAGATATAGATTGCAAGCAGCATGCAATAGGGTATATGTCGATATCCAGATTTTATTAAGTTCATCATAATAATGATAAAATTATTGGTAAGCTTTGTGGAACAATCTGACACTTTCTTTTTAACCCTACAATCATAAGTAGAAATCTAGGGAAGATCCTATGAGATAGTATATTGATAGACCTGACTTTCAAGGTGATTTAACAAAGTGTGAGAAATGAATGGTATATTAGTTCTTTTCTCAGCCATAAACTTTCTCTTAAATATCATTTAGGCACAATAAAGTTTTCCATATGTGCTTATTTCGGTGAAAATTGAATTAAGCCAAATCATCATAAATCACAAATTATTCAAATAAAAACTCCTTTATAAACACGCATATGTCAATAAAAACTAATTATGCTTCCACATTTGCTTCATTTAATGTAAAGAATTATTAAGAAAACATATGCCGCAATATAATGTTTGATGAGGGGAAGAGAAACATTATATTAATTATTACAGCTCTAAGCTAATGTCATTAATAATTATTACTATAAGAAATAGGTTTTATTATAATACATTGTATCCGTACATTGATCATGGTTACAAAGAAACCTACTCTTGAATGCTTTCGCTGTATTTTATAATTATCGATTAATTAATTACTGGTTGGCCCTCGCTCGTTATACTTCGCATGTGCCAACAATACTTATACCCTTTTATTAATGATTGATACGAAAAGTAAATAAACATACCAAATAATAGTTAACCTTTATCCAATTTTCCACAAAAATGAAGTTGCAGTAAAGACATACCTATATACAGTACTATGCCTGTACTAAGTCTACCAGAAGTAATAGTAGCATTTGTTATTATTAGATACGAAAAGTAAATACAGCTACAAGGTAATGTTTATTCTTTGTTCAATTATCCGTAAAATTGAATTTATAATACTATGCTTTGGTGAAGAACTAGTATTTTCTGTCCCCTTAAAAACGTACAGTCACAATCACAGCATATCCAGTGTGTTTTCTATACTAGTCGATCCCTCGTTCATTATACTTCACGTGTAGCAACTGTACTCGTACTCATGCTGCTTACTAATTTACATGCGCGTTCTTTTGGCTGACATGGAATAAATTTATGTGTCTGCTTTTAATGACTATGCGTACTATTGACTTCATTCGTAGAACAGTAGCAATTAAATTATGTAATACTCAGGATTGCGTTGCTAGCCTCTATAATTATAATTAGTCTGCATAAAGCAACTTGTTCTATCATTTTACATCATAACGTGTTTAGGCACAAGTGCTAGGAGGGGCAAGTAATGTACGAACAATCAGGGGCAATGTGAAGTCCTCGAATAGGTGTAGTCCTGTTGGCCAATAAGTTTACAGGCTGGCAAGATACGTTATAATATGCTGTACTCATGCTTTTAGTACTATGATCGAAAATAGTAGGCGATATTAGCTACTTTCATCTAAGCGACAGGCATACGAGTAAATGTAGAAGAAGACTACGTAACTTTAATTTTTATTCATTGGGATAGTCAGTTCAACTTGCAGACGATAACTACAGACTTCTTGCAGTAATATTATAATTATTGAAGCACTGATTATGACCGTGACTTCTCAATGAATATCAAGCCAAGACTATATTAAACTCAGAGGTTATAATTAAGAACCATATCTACATTTTTTATTGAGGTACCGAGAAATAAAATGTTTACAATACATGTTATCCACTCTGTATAATAAAGTCTATAGCTCAATATTGTTGCAGTTTTGATGTATTTTGGAGGCAAATTAAAATAAAATAATTCACGAATTTAGAGTTGTCAAAGTACTTAATATAAACCAATCATTGATTTATCTATTATTTATAGCGGTCAGAACGGTATATAATAATGCTGCCAAATGCGTTTATCGTACATTAACCCGCGATAAGATCTTTGCAGCTTAGACCGATGAAATAAATCAACTTTACTTTTACATAAAAGGCAATATATGACTGAAATCTTATCTTCTAGATGTCTTTCCTTGCTTCCTCTTACCGGAATATAAATGCTTAGGCTTCAAATCGGGAATAGCTCTATCACTTTCACCTAAAATGTATTCGAGATAAGATATTAACTTAAAGATTAATCAAATAGCGAGACAAATGACGGTGACCATGGCATATAACAGTAAGTGGATTTTAAACGGTTTACAGTACCTTTCAGAGCCCCAAACCTAATTTTCTTTTGAGATTTCTTAGTTAATATTCTCGCCCTTGCCTTTTGCTGTAAAAAAACATAATCATATTTAGAATCTGTACCCAAAATAGTTGTACGTAGTTCAATTTAAATTGCAATTTTAGCTTACTGAAGGATTTGCAAAGGCCGATTCATCACGTGGTCGTGATTGGCTGCGAGTAACACTTCGTGATGCCTTACGCTTACGCTGCATGATTTCCTTCGATAGCGATTGTCGCTTTCGTGACACTGCATTAGCCTATATTGTTGATTACAACATCAATTTTCATTTACTACACAACAATAACGAAAGGCTATAATAAAAAAAATTTGTACTTCAGTAGAAGTATCCATTGATTCCATTTCATCCATATTTTGAAATTTGTCCAGTCGCGACCGAGTAGCCTAGAGTCAGAATGGCAACGATCAGTTCTCTCAAATCTAACTATTTACCGTGGTCGTTTCATTTATCTATCTAGCGGAATACCTGTATCTTTCTTCGAGGCATTGTAGGCTTATTCCTAGATTTCTTTTCGCGATTTTTTAACGCTAGCAGCTTTTTCTTACTTCGAATACTATCAAATGATGTGTCATATAGTGTTTAATCTATCGAACGACTTCTAGTAATAAAAAAATTATAATATAACACATACAGATCTGCTTTCTTTTTGATCTCAGTATATTCATCGTCATCTTCGTCCTATATACAAAGACAACATTTAAGACCTCTCTCTAACGAACTGACATACATGTGCAATAGTAGATGATTGTCATTACGTAGCAGTATTGGCTATTAAACTTACAATTTCGTCATCGTATATTCCGGCAGCTTCTCTTAGTTCCTCTTCTCTTTCCAAACTTTCTAATTTCTAATTCAAGTTAAGAATTGTCAGTAATTTACGAGATTAACTAGATATAAGAGTATAGATCAGATCTACATACTTCCATAATTTCAGGATCAATAAAGTCTGCAATATTTTTCCCTTCGTATATTTCGGGTACGATATCATACTTTTCATCTTCATTCTTTAAGTCGTATTCCCCTAAAATTGTAAATATAATTTTAACAACTCAAGATTACACAAACAGTAGGTCAGATTGATGAGAGGAAATAAAGCATGCATACTTTTTAAATCTAAAATGTAATCATCTCCTAGCTCTTCTTCATAATCACGCATCTGCATATTCAGGACGTAATAAATGCGCATAATATTGAAAGGTTGTTAATAAATAAGCTAGTACAACTTTACGGAAAAGTGTTGCAAATATAAATCCAAGAAAATTCATGATACTTCAGTTTTATGAAATAATATTATCACTAACAAGCTTTTTTTTGCTAATCGAATCATCGATAGCTTTCTTTTCCTTTACTGAATCCGGAATGAACACAGGACGGTCCTACAAGAAATAGATCAAGCTATTACAAATGTAGTTTATTCTTAATTGTCAAAGTCAAGAATGGACGAACTTTATCATCTCTCTGAACTGGGGTGGCAACATGAACCCGATTAATGATATCATTTACTCTTCGCGATTTTAGCTTGACTTCTATGCGCTGTGCTAGCAGTCTTTCACAAGCCTTTCATAATAAATGCGGTAACGCCTTCAATACCAGAACTTGACAAAATTTTGTCATACATTACATTTAATAGCTACAAAATTTTAACCTCTTTCTTAACGTCAAAAAGACCTTCCTCGGTTACTGTGCTCATTGGAAGTAAGTCAATTCCTTCAGTAGTGAGACTTTGAAGTTGAGTCTATTACGTAATAAAAGTGTTTGAATAATAATGTCGTCTCTACAAGCTTAGAAATATATTTTAATTAAGCGCATTAGAGGTAAATTTAAAATTATAATAGAGGATTTAGACCTTAACATCATCGGATAAATCTGTCACTCCAATAATATCGATTTTATTTAGGGCAATTAATATTGGCTGTAAACATATAATTGAGTTTGTAATAAGGAAAAAAAGTAATGCGTACGATTATTATTAAATCAAGTACTGATGATGATTAATGATCGAATATACTATACCTTTTTGCTAAATAAGGGCTGCAAACTACGAAATAGTCCAATCTGAAATGAGCGTTGATATCATCATAAGCAATGTAGTATCTGGCATTACCATTTACGTCGTTTGGCGATAACATGTGGTAATTCCTTACCTGTTCCTCTATACTATGTCCACATTGTCCAGAGATATCCATAATATATAAAACAGCGGCACGTAAATGTGCAAGCGCAGCAATTGCCTATCCATGAAATGAAGTTGGCCTATTATCATCGTGATCATTAATAGTAGGAAAAGCGTAATCAAAACTTACCTGCATTTCTATAGCATTCCTTTGTTCTAGAGAATGATCTAAAATCCCAGGTGTATCTACAACCTTGTAATTAAAGCAAAACATAATTCTGTCTATCAAGATGAAAGCGTCCAATAAATGGAAATCATCGCTAACATGGTATACCTGCCATCTAAGATATTTATAATCCATATGTCCAACAAATAGAGATTTGGTCGTGAAAGCATAAGGTTGAACTTCAACGTCAGCTCGAGTTATCTTGTTGATAAAACTAGATTTACCAACGTTAGGAAATCTAATGCGGAAAAGAATTTCAATTTCCATTACTGCATCTACATACTGTATGACTATGTTTTGACCGTACTACTGTAAGTACCAGTACGTCACAGTCGCTCATCATCGGCCGGAGGAAAAGTGCAGTACTTACCCGCAGATAAGGATAGTTCTTGTATTGGGATCAATGGTCGGGAGTCGTGCTAAATGCTGCCTCACTGTGTAGCAAAGGTGTAAATACGAACAATTTAATATTAAATTAACAGAAGGAGACAATGTTCATACAGTAGCTGAATGAGGCTACATATCTCACCTTGTTCTAAGTATTGTAGGCTCTGATTTTGTCTTTTAAGGATAGTACACATTCTAATAGTAGAATAGTTAGCAAAAATCAGAGTTATTCATGAGCTATTTTTTAAATCGAACAAAACAATGTCTTGCAAGTTCCTAATCTTCAATCCAATACCTTCCTAGGGCTGCTTTCTTTAATTGTTTACATCGGTACAGGGAATCCCCATATTTTAGTAATCGAACATAATCTTTAGCAACACTACGAACAATAATAATAATCCATTGAATGAACAACAAGAATTTCATTACAGGATTTGGATAATAACAATTGCACTATAAGACAACAATGTGATATTACTTGTCTATCAAATGCATTGCAGTGTTCAATTGGCCAAGAGCAAGCTTATAATGATTCTTATCGTAAAGGATATTCATAAGATCTGCATAAAATGGATGGACTTCCTAGCAAGTCAATTCGATAAATAGGCTGAGCAACGTTGGTTTGACACGAGCAAACTTTTCATTTCAGTCATGCCATAATATTTTTCGAAAGCAAAAATCATTATTTTTATACTTACATCTAGCTTGGGGAAATCATTTAGAATCTGGCTCAAGCGATCATGGCAATTTTGTTGAGTAAACTTGACTTTTCTCATGTAAAATTGTCGAATTCGACCAATTTGATAATGTCTATAGCAAAGGAGATCGATGCATTAATGGGCTTACTATTAACGATGCAATAAGAAGGCATTGCTATACGTATTAAGTCATTCATAATGAAGCCTAGCTGGACTATTGATGTAGGATCGAAGCAAAAATGGAATATAAATCAGGTCATCTATTCATTTGTGACTATAATAATTGTCATTCACACGACATTAACAAATTTTGGAGTAGAGTATTCCTATTCTGCAAGCCATATCTCACTACGAATGCATGTAGTTACAACTGCACTTCGAAGAATATATTGAACTGTATATACTGTACGTGTGTAGTAGATAAAACTAAGCACTACGCAGCCATTATAAACTAATTACATCCTATGAAAAAGTCCATTTGGAAACGGGTCTTGTTCCAGCATCACTTATGCAATGCAGCATGAGTAATTACTCATTCCATCATCTTTCATTCCGTCCACTCTACACTTGATCATGATGCTGCAGTAGTCAATCTATACAGTACAGTGTTATCATTGATGCTTTACCACGATTTCTACAGTTTACAGTTTATAATAATGCTACAGCACAATTTGCACGTCTAGACTCCGATTTGCAATCAGCTAAGCGTTACTTACGAAAGTGGAAATGGTGACGTAGTCATGCAGTGCAAGAAATGATGATATGAGAAAAGATTGTAAAGCAAAGCATCAAAATGTCCGTCATCTACTGTACAATCTATATTTACTGCACTTTTCCGATTCCTGCATAAAAGTCTGTCAAGTTACAATATTATAAGTACGTTTGAACTACATCTATCAAAATTACTTGTGAACCACCGTTGGCGTCTTCCTTTGAGTCTTGGATAAAATGATATCGACAAAGTCCTATGCACGTACAAGAATGAATTTGGTCAAGATTTGCAAGTCATTACTATACACATTAATGCACAAGCCTTAACTACCCTAATTCTTTCCAATTGTTGGCAAATGAAATATGTACCTTAGCAGACGGAACGACAGTGGTCTTTTTAAAGTTATAGCAAGTTGTAGCTGCCATCTCTATCAAGACTTGATTTGAAATTTTACTTTTAAAGATTGATTGGCCTTTCGCAGACCATCGGATGCCGGTGCTTGGGTAAAAGTATCGCTTACTCGATTACGCTTGATCTCCTTACTAATGCTTGGCCTTGATTTAGCCTACCTGGCACATGTTAGGCCAGCTGTCTGTCTGGCTTGCTGTACCGTAATCTGTCCTCACCTCGAGCCTATCACTATAGCTACTCAGAATAGAGGTATGGCACGCTACTGTACTATAGTAGCACAAGGTAAAAATGGAAGTAGTATGGTTCCGATTGGTCCGTAGCCGGATGGACAGACTGCGTACATCGACTGCACCTTTCTGTACTAGTATCGTTCCGATTGGTCCGTAGCCGGATGGACAGACTGCGTACACCGACTGCACCTTTCTGTACTAGTATCGTTCCGATTGGTCCGTAGCCGGATGGACAGACTGCGTACACCGACTGCACCTTTCTGTACTAGTATCGTTCCGATTGGTCCGTAGCCGGATGGACAGACTGCGTACACCGACTGCACCTTTCTGTACTGGTTCGTATTGGTCATCCAACCTGACAAATGTACTGTAGTGTCCATACTGTAGAGTTGCTTCACAGTACAGTACAGTATGGTAGTGACGTAAAAATTACAGTACAAACCGGAGAGTGTACTGTACACTGTACGGTCATAGTCACAGCCACCAACTACTACGGCAAATGTTCTATACTGCTACTAGAAGAACACCAACGACTTAAAAGGACTTGTATGAAATGAATGGCCCATGAATGTAGAGTACACGTGCGGTAGTCCATGCCACGTTCCATACTGTTTTAATGCACCCATTGGGAGCCCATGGCGTAATCCAGTTTACCTTGATTCTGTCTCCGAATCTTCCAATCTAACCTTGCCTAACGTCAAGGAATTACAAGTCTTGACGACTCTGCTCTTACTATCCAAGACTACCTCAGTTCGATTACTTTACTAGTTTGTCACGAGCTAGGAAGAGGCCTAACTTACAGCAAGGATTGAGAGAGTAATTTCTATCCTATACTACTGTTATTCGGAATACTAGACAATTGGTATTCCAAGGCAGATAGGGTTTAACACAGCGAGACCTTCAAAACTTACTAGAAAATCGCAATCGAATTTATTGTCGGCGAACTCGCCGTTGATATTACTAAGACATTTCCTCTAAGCTTAGGAATTGTACTTTCGACCTTAACAACTTTGGAGGTGATAGATACAAGCCAGTTTAGCTGGTTGCCAATGACGATTTTAGTCTATCTAATCCTAAATGAAGGATATCAACTGTTAACCACTAAAATTACAATTAAGGAGACCGTAAAACATTTCTGAGATTTAAACATATATAGAACGTAACATACAAATAAAGCATACATCACCAAGATTACTTTTGTGACACTTAGTTATAGATTGTAGTAGTGTTACCACGCAATAATTACTGTACATGAAACACTGCAATAGTAATCATGTCAGAATCACAACAACAGTACAGTTTTACTGCTGTAGTGGTTGCCCGAAGAATAACTTGCCTATATATGTAATTGATTTTATCTTTACTCCTTCGTATAGTGCTATCAAAAATTCAATTTTCAAAGTCATATTAATACAGTATCACCATCTGCAATATAAGAGCTTATTGCACTACAGTCGCTTTTCTTACTTTCAACGTTATCGTACCTCTAGAGCACAAAGAATGAACACTTGACTAGATCAGTTCGTCGAGTTGCTTGATATCTCTTGGACTACCTCAGAGCTTGTAATATATGAAGCAAATTTCTGTTTACAAGTCCCTGGCTGAGTGCATGTTTTTAATGGATGGATATCCCTCTTTCTACTGTGTTATTGCAATAAACCATGACATGTATTGCTAATGACTTAGTAGAATATTAACTGTACTATTGGTAAGGGTATTAGGGTATCGGCCATCACTGATTATCTAGTTTATAGAGTAAATAAGAACAAGTTGATAGGGTCTTGTTCCACTCCGGAAATTTTTTCGGTGGCAAACGACATTAGGGCTTCCTGTACGATAGCTCGGCAATTTAATTTAGGTACTCTGATGTAAGGTAGACATACCTGCAATAAGCATGCTTTTTCATGAGTCATATAAAATGTACTAGCTGAGATATTCTTTCGAAATAAACTGGCACAATTTTCAACGACATCCATCAATATCGTCCATGCTGCACTAGGCAATGGTTACTCCTGCACAAGGATGCTAATTACTGGTCTGAAGAATAAGCAAAGAGGATTATAAAACATTTCATTTTATTGTACAAGCATAAGTATTGTATTTACGGATTACACAATAGCCCAATTTATCTTTTAACTCGATGAACATTGGCAACCGAAGAGAGATCGTATTAATACTCACGACAAAACAGATATAGAAGTGTATGTACAAGGTTGGAATATGAACACGTCGGATTTATACCAAAGTTATCACTTATTGTTGTAATAGATACATAATTTAGAGAGGAATTGAAATAATAGGCCAAATCACGAAATCTCAAAAGCAAAAGCGTAACGGCTTGCATTCACGCTCGTACTTAACGAGAACTCGCAATCTTTGTCACCTACAAATATACTTAAGTTACAAATATTTCTCTTTAGGATGATCTAGACAACGGAAAAAATTGTAACCTAGAGGAATGTTAATAGTTAATTACACTGTACACAGGAATAAAAACATCGACATGAATAAACAATAATAATCACAAAGATCTATAAAACTTCAGTTTTACCAATGGATTTATATTGTTATATCGCAAATGTTCGGCTAAAAGATTACAGCAGACGAGTATTGTAAAAATGGTATCAAATCCGCTTCGTCAAGAAACGGTAATGATAATAACGAAAGCAATGATTTTAAATAAATCAATTCAGACGTTGAATAGGTAAAGATGACAAATCAAAATTGAACTTATTTTCACTCCATGACAGGATAATCTTCGAATACGCGTATGTACTAAATGCGAAATGGTTAATAAAGAACATAAATTATATAATTATGAATCAAATATTGTACAAGACAATAAGCTTCTAATCTGAATATATACTCCCAATTGTAAAATTACTGCAGAGAATATTATCCTGACATTACACTAAATTCCAAAAAACAATTTCCGCAATATCGCATGATTTCGTTATCAGTAATTGAATAACGACTAGTGATGCTATCCAGAGTGGGTAAATAGACAGACACAGATATACAGTAACAAATACAATTGTACGTACTGATGTAAGTACAATTATGGTCAATACCATTAAACACGATGGTACTGATTTAGGAAATACTCCGTAACAATATATGCTTCAATAGCATACAATTCATTATTAGGCATAAAGTAAAAAAGAATATAGTAAATAGTATATAAAATAAACATGAAATGAAGAATTTCAAGGGATGAAATAGTACTTGATAGTACAATAATGTAATAGTAACTGACAAACAAAAATTGTTATAACATTGCTATATTTTGAATATAGGCGTATGTTCTGCAAACAATTTCATTTATTGTCTATGTTGATATAATTTTTTACGAAACAATTTGTTAAAAACATTTTAAAGAAATCTTAAGAAAAGGTTTACCGAATTAGTAGATTAGTTACATGATTAAACAGTTGATTCTTCAGATTTAGGAGGGAGTTCTACTTCAATAGGATTCAAATTTTCAAAATGTTCTTCTTCTTGGATTGGTTGATCACATAATGAAGCTAATCTCTCGGCTACACAGCCGGCAGTTAAGCGAGCTTCAGCATCATCATCCCAGCAGTCTTCTATAGTTTCTCTAATCAAATCCGCAGACTGTCATTCATGCAATAAAGTATAGTTAAACACTTGAAGGTAGAGGCATCAATTTAATAAATAGAATGTAAATATATGCCTAAAACTTACAGGAAACGACAGAAAGTTATTTTCCATTTTAGGTCGGCTTTTTTTATCTACAACAAATGTCTGCATTTGTTCTAACGTTGGTACTCTACCCAATTCTTCTTCAAAAGGTAGATGATAAGCACCCGGTGGACCTACATTAAAATTCGATGTATTATTTGACTGTGAAAAAATCTACAATTATCACAGATGTTTCACTTACTGTCATTTATAGAGCAACGTGACATTATTTCCCATAGTACAAGAGCCAATGCATAAACATCAATTCGTAGGAAAGATTCTCTGTTGAAACTAATTGCTCCATCGAGGACTTCAGGTGACATATATCTGTAAGTACCAACCTGTACATACAGAGAAGGTAATCAAGGTCAACAATGATACAAAAAATGCATTTAGTTATTGCGATACCATCAACGTATATACCTGCGCATGTATATCTATAGGACGAGTATTGGCATCGAATTTAACGGCTAATCCAAAATCTGCAATACAACAGGTGCCATCCGATTTTACAAGAACATTTTTACTTTTAAAGTCTCTATGGGCAATGGACGGCTTGGAAAGTTCACCGTCAGTTCCGATGCCTTCCCAATGTAGATACGCTAGTCCCTCCGCAATACTTCTAGCCATCTTAATCGCCGCATTCCAATCTAATGCATTATCTTTTAAAAAGCCATGAAGTGAGCCTAACAGCCAAAATAGAAAAAATGCTTGGTTTTAGCTTGAGATTTAAGGGTCTGATAGAAACTTAAACTGCGCCTTTTATTTCGTTACTTAATATTTCTAGCGCTCGAACTACAAATTGGGTAGCGGTTGTAAATACCTTGGCAATGAAATTCAGTAACTATCCAGTACTCATCTTCATGTCGCTTTTCTGCAAAGTAGAAATGCAGTATCTGCGAATGTGAAGCAAGATAATGATACATTTCCTTTTCGGCTTCCCATGACATCTTTTTTTGTTGCGTTAATATTTTTACTGCAACTAGGCTGTTATTTGCATGAATGTCATTATGGTTGTTATGCCAGTTATGAGACGTACTATTTAACTTTCCTTTCCAAACAGATCCACAGGCACCATAGCCAATGCGTTCAATAAGTTCAACATCATAGGTTTTATCATTATTTTCAGGTCTCAGATTGTTCATTGGAATCACGTTTGTTCCCCCATTTTCTTGTCTTATTGCGTTTCTTCGACACATCCAGTAAGTTAACGCAATAGTGGCTAAAACAATAACTGCTATCGGAATGATAACCGCTAAAGCAATCTGTGAAGATGGAATAGGTGAGTCGGTTGTTGAATAGCCACTAGATAAATTCACAGCTGCTGAAGGTGTAGCTACATTCACAGGAATACGAAAGCAAACAACGATTACCCTAATTTTGTCGTCATCATCGTAAGTGATTAAACTGATAGGCTGATTGATAGATATCTATAATTCTAATTTATTCTAACCTGATGCTGTTGTAGTCTCATAGGTTACATTGTTTAAGTCAAGGAGGTAATGCTTATTGCAATAATCATCCTTACAGCAACAACGGTAAGTTCTTGAGGAGTTATGATAAATCAACGGACAATTTTTATCTTCACTACAGGTAAAATCTGCATTGGCCCAACAATCTATTAAATGGATATACGTATCAAGAAAGTAAAAAAGGCAACGTTAATTATAATTTTTAATTAAGACATGGATAAAATGATGGCTAAAATTCTTTAAAATCAATATGATCATTTTAAGACTTGTTTTAATTCATCAATTGATTACACATTGAAAAAAAAAAAATTGTATTAAATTTATTTTTGGTAGAATTGTAATAACCGTAATGACGTCTTAAAATTAATGTAACTAATGCAAAGAACATCCCTTGCTATCTAAAGATGTTTACAGAATTATCAGCATTCATAACTCGTGCAGAGTCAGTCATTATTACGCCAGTCTACATTCTAAGCTAAGTTATTTTAATACTGGAAACGAGAATAAGTGATTGCTAAATAATTGCTACTAGTTGATTATTATCACTTTGCAATATACGCGTATATTAATTCTCAAAAACACGGCATAAAGTAAGATTGTAATTGAAATACGAGTAATATCGATTGTAGATGTCACGAATAAAGCTTAATATCGTAGTCGAGGAGTATAAAAGTTACCAATGAATCAAATCAATTTCAAGCTTTATCAACTCACCTAGAAATGATAATTCTATACCATGCGGAAAAGAAGAATTCCTTCTAAAAACTGCTATACAGTGTTCTCTAGATACACTATCGTTGCAATGAACAGTAGTAAGGCATCCGTATATTGACTGGTTAATAGCTGCTGTTGAGGAGAAGTTGACGTTACATTTCCCATAATCATACTTATAACAAAACCGCGCACCGGAGACGTTTGATAAATCTGCCAAATTTAATAAAATATGTATATATTAGAACGTCATGAATGTAATGTAAAGTAACAGTGATTTAATGTCATTAAACTTTTAACGAAGAACTAATACAATATTAATACTATTAATTATAGGCAAAGAGTTACAATAGCGCTCATATAATGTAGATATTTATTAATTCATATGTATTGAACAGATGAAAAATACTAAATTCTTGATAAGCAGCAAAAAACGAGAGCGATAACCATTATCATATCTATAGTACTTCAGCAGTCAAATCAAATAGCAATAATTACATGTGTGGCGATAATAAATAATTAGTGATCAAACTGCAACAATATTGGCAGTTTTCTATTAGAGTATATGGTACAATGATAGTTTTCATTATTTTCTTGCCATGTACAAAATGCCAATACGATAAGCAAGATACCCTTGGCAGTTTCCTATTAGAGTACATGCTAAAATTACAGCTTTCTGTTATTTCCTTGCCATGCACAAAATGTATGCATGATTAGCAAGATATTCGTAAATAACTTACAAGAGTCTATAATTGCAAATTGAATGCCATTCTATAATGCGAACTAGAGTAGGACAGCTAATTCATTGACTAATTACTGCCTAAAAAGCAGTGATGTTTGTAGATGTACCTGTACAATACAAGCGTATTAAAGGTGCTAACAGAAGATGTTCAAAGTCTGAAGTTGGGCCATAAGGCTTATTATGGTAATATCAATAATAGCCCTCATGTATTGCAAATGTTAAAGTAAATTGAAGAGACAACTTGTCAGTGTTTGTTTTACATGATCAACTACTGTACTATGGTTGTCATTACAGCACGTAAGCAAACTGAAGTTGAATCTTATTCAGTTATAGCCAGCAGATGGTACTGTCATGTAATCTATAAAAATGTGGAAGAGTTGAGACGTTATTGAGAAAAACTACTTTCAACTTGGAATTGATATGAAAAGTAATATGGAAGTAAGGTAATTTTAAAAGTAGCAGTTTAAACTAGTGGCAATTATTATGATGGAGATATCATATGTTTGCTTTCACATGTTCGAGCCAAGTCAGGGATACAGCAAGCAACAAAACACCACTGACATCGGAGACTTTAGCAGAGAGAATTTTTCCATGCCATATTGATAATACAGCAATACAGTTCTGTTTCCCTTACGGAGACAGATTCCCCTCCTCAAACAGATGGTAGGATCATTACTATGGTATGATTTACGGTCCTGGTATGACTGTTTACTAATCAACACAGTTGTAAATACTATTCTAGAATCGTAAATAGCAGAATGTTGATTGATCACTGTCATTCATCAATCCTATATCTATATGTGTATATATACGTTAGTAGACACTAACTAGTGCAGTATAGCGAGTGTATACTTACAGGCGAATTAATTACCAATTTGACGCATGAAATTACTGTGTAATTTGATTACGGTACTACTCAATTGATTGAAATCGATCAATTATCGTATGTTGAAAGTCAATTCTCGCAATCGACCTTTAGTTTCGATTGAAAGGTAGAAACAGCAAGATGTAGTATACATTTATACAGAGTTGCAGCTTAGCAAAAAGATGAATGTAGGAGTCATATTGACGTATACTCCAATTTCTCTCACTAATCGTACACAAATCAATCCAACATTTTAATTCATCAATACAATTTCAAACAATTAGTTATTCATAAACAAGATAAATGAACATCTTTAAGCAAGAACAGCAAATTATGTTTTGCTAGTAATTTATACAAGTCTCCCACTGTACAATGTACATTTTTTGCCTCTATAAGCCATGTTAAACACGTAGAAATGTTGTCGCCCATAAATAATTATTATTATTACAACTATGTACTATTATTATTCTAATTATCACAATATTATCCTACGTTAGTACACGGACAACGGAAGTGGTGCTATCGCTTTAATTTCGTGACGGATCAGCAATGCGTGACAGTACAAGTATAGTAAATAATGCTAAAATGAGGATAGTCATACTGATCGCCATTAATAAAGGATCATTGGAAGAATTTTGAGTGTGGCGGTGTAGACTTGAAGATGTTTCAAGCTTCATTAAAAGTCATTTGTATACTGCATAATAGGTAACAACCGAATGGAAGAAATGAAAAAAAAAAAATCACTCCCCAGTAAATACTGCAAAGTATAGACAGCACAATATCTGGATTACTATCCCTGCCAGACTAGAATAGAAGCCTTTTTTAAGAGAATTTCTCACTTCAAAATGTCGATTGCAAAGACAAAAACCGATGACGCCTTGCTAAAATGCAAAGTGCAGCATTATCATTTCAAAACAATGTTGCATTGATTTACTGTTGATCTAAATAGAACTATACGACTAAGTACGATATAGTGATTGTCATTAGACAGTAAACAATTCAATCGATCAACGATTATAATTACAGTTCAAGGCGATTTGAGCGTAATTTGCCGTTGATGTCACGTACTACAGACGTGGAGAACATTGGCTACTATTTACAATACTCATAAAGTACCCCATTTTTTTTTTTTCAGTTATTTGTACAGTTAGGGAACTGATAGCATCGGGCAACCGTAGTAAACTATTGAATCTACGCCGCATACCCGTCAGTAATCTCATATTAATACAATCCATTCATCGGTGTTGTTAGCCCGATGGAAATGGAGGTTTGTTATCTACTTACCAATTGGAATGATCGAATTGAACTCAAGACCAAATAATAATATGTATTACAAGATCCTTGACCAGATGGATTTATTAGAATGATGGTATAGTATCTGGTTCTACATGTACGCTTATTGTCGTTTGATGACAACAACTGAAGTGATCTTTGCCCATGGTACAACACACATCCCACTACAATTAGAATGGGGAGAAAACAATTTCTTTGATATTTTTATTATTTTGAAATTTCGAATCTGCTCCGAAAATGGAAACATTATTTTCGACGAATGGAATATGATCAACCTAAGTCTATCTGGTAAATTAAGTCGATAATAATCATGGTGATCATGTATTGACGACTGCTACAAAAATAATAAAACTATTATCCATTCTTACCTAGTATAATCAAAAATCCAACAGTTAGAACAGCAAAATTGTAAACGATAGTAGCGATGTTGCAGTATCTCCTATTATGTCTGATCGCCATTCTTTGATCCAATTGTAGTAACGCTGCTTTCGGCTTGTATTGAAGTTTTTCCAATCCTATGACATATTACACTTAAAATTGTATCGTAGGCAGTAATGTTTAAGTGAAAAGAGATCTAGGATGCAGCATTAGAAATGAAGAAGGAAAGTGCGTGTTATCCGATTTTGATAACGTGTCGTTTGTCGTGGACGATGATGGACACTTTTGTTGGTAGAAAGTATCTTTTTCGATGGGGTCTATAATCGACAGGCAAAGTTTTGTCCTTGTACTAATGGATGGACACGTTGGCGAGCAAGCTTTGCTATTGTCGATCGATGCAAGTGCTTGCAATAGTTTGTAAAGTGGAATGATTTTGACATAAAAATGATGCAGAATTGAACTTGATCAACACGATATAGTCCACGTTTCAGACAGCACACTGTATAGTAGTATACTATCGCGTGTCACCGT